TCTTTTGTCATATTTGTGCAGCCTCTCACTGAGGGCTGGATGTGGCCGCGGTGCTGAACTGACAGGATTAGAAAGGTTGTGTGTGTTCTGTGTAATTAGCCCCAACATTGTTGTAGAATCATCGCAGTATTCAATCCACTGAACACGGGCGTCACCATCACTGGAAGAGTTCTGTCCTCGTGACAGAGGAACACAAATTAGATTTGATTTGATATTGTGAAAACACAAGTTTCACTGAAGGGGAATTTGCATGTTGTTTCATCTTTGCTGGATTGAGTTAGTTCAAAGTATCACTGACTTTTTCATTTAATATATTTTGGTGACATTGCTGAGACCTGACACACATAAATAAATCTTTGTTGACTTTTGTTTGTGTCTCTGTGCAGGATCTGTTTGTCATTTTAAATTCCTGTTTGCCTGGCAAACACACATTTTGTCTGATGGACAGTAAATACAGTGACTTGTTCTTTTTTTCCTTTTTTTTTTTCCCCTAAATGTTGCATCAACACTCTGCACTGAGTGGCCTCTGTAAACATTGGATTTTTCCAGCTTCTGTGTGTTCTTTTTTCTTTTTTTCCCAGACACGCAGAAAGAAGTTAGCACACGATGATGAATTAGATTTTAATTTATTTGACTTCATTCCCAGCTCGCTGCATTAGAGGCTGAAAACACCCGCGCAGCCGTTTGTCTGCTCCAGTCTTATTAGGTTTCAGAAAACAAGGCGAGGGAATTGCATTAGCTTGTCTTAAGTTAAAAGCTCTTTGCTCTTTGACCAAGTGTTTCATTGTTATTGGGTTAATCAGATTTTTGCTGTCTTCATGGAGATGCTATCGCAGGCTAGAGGCAGTGGTGGGTAACCAAAGCAGCCGTGCACAGACACTATCCAGATGGGATCATCTTACGGTAATTTGGTTTCGGAATACATTACCAGAAGAGGCTCCTGGCCGAGAACGGCCGTCCCGCTACGAGCCAGGAGCCGGTGGCCACTGAGGCTGCGGCGTCCAGCCCGGGCTTAGCAGCCAAACCACCTGTCCTGCTTTCACACACACACACACACACACACACACACACACATCTCCCAGAGCTGTGTGACTTTTTGAAGACAGCCTCATGTTATCTTTTTTTTTCTTTCAAATCATATCTGTCATCCGATTCTAAATACCTCTTCCTTATACCAACAGGGCTTTGTTGTCCAATTCATTAGAGAGATTCCTGAGTCCACTGGCCACGCTGGAGCCCTCTCATTTCTGGTATCTAGTATCATTACTTTCACTGTAAATATGTCACTCAGCTCAGGCTGAGAGGGTGGGAGGGGAGAGGGAGCATGTTGACCCTATTCAGGCCAAATGGGGATGCAGAGTATATTGACACTTTTCTCTCTGTCTATGGACGTTCAATGTTCTGGTTTTTTTTTTTTGCAAGCATAGTTTGAGCTTTGTTTTAGCTCAGCTGACACATCAGGTCTCACACTTAACACTGGAAAATGATTATGAAATTAAATATATCATAATAAAGACTATCATATATACATATATCATATCAATTATTCAATTATTAAAGTGCTTAAAAGCATAAAATAGCTTGAATTTGCCAACTGTTTTAACCTAATCGTTTTTGCTCCGTGTAGTTGTTACAAATATTCATACTTGCAGTTTTTGTGAGGGTTAAAGTGATACAAAATTATATTCATAATGTCATGCTTTTTGATTAGTTTTTCAAGCCCCACACCCTGCTGAAATGACATGGACATGGTTCAAATCTAGGCAAATTTAAATAATTAAAAATGCTATAGAAGTAATGCCTCTACGATTTATGGAATCCTAGGCAAATTTAAATAATTAAAAATGCCTCTACGATTTATGGAATTAAAATAACATGTATAACTTTGGATTAAATGTGTTTTAAACACCTAAATATTTCTGTTAAATATAAATATGTAAAATATTGCAATGTGAAAAACAAAATTAATAGTATGAAACAAGTTATTTAGTTAACAAATCCTTAGCTATAATGATCAAAACGCCCCAAATAAAATATGTTTGGCAGCTAAGAAAAAAACAGAAAAATAAAGTATGAAAACATGTGAACCTCAAAATGTCCAAATTTCCAAACAACTCTCTGATTTTCTAGTTGAAAATCATTTGCGCCAACGTAACGTTTGACGTTCAGGTCTTACACCTGTCAGCGCTTCACAGCTGTGTCACAGAAACCACCAACAATCGCCACACGTGTCCTTTCCCTCTGTTGTTGTCCATGCTAACCTTGGACACCTCCTCGCCGCAGTGAGAGAATCTGTTTAAAAATATACCAGGTCCATTAGTCTATAAGGATAATGCTGGCCTACGTGAGGCTCTCGTGCCCTTGTGGCAGCAGAGTGCTATCACTGACACGGTGCGTCAGCACTTCTTCCTGTTGCTCCACAATGAAGGGCTCCTCTTCATTTACACACACACACACACATTCATGTATTTATACACTCACCCTAAGCACACGTTATAGAATGCAGAAAAAAAAAAGAGTCAAGAAAAGAGCAGTGAACGTTTCCCTGCACCTGACGAGAGACTGTGAACCTCAGCAGATTGGTTGAGAACTAACAGGAAGTAGTTCTAACGCCTTAACAAGTCCTTTATGTCAATTGATGTGTACATGGCACGAAAACACGTCGTAGCTCTGGTGTTGGTGCCTGTATGGGTGTTTATCAGCAAAAGCTATTGGTATCGAGCGGCGCGCTGTTTGAAGGTTATGTTTAGGAGCAGTAATTGAAATGCAAAATAACATTAGAATCGATGGTTAGTTTTGTTTATTTATGAAATCAATATCTAAACCAGTCAGGGCCAGAGCTCTGATTCCCACAGACAGGTCCTCTGGATGGCGCTGGTGAGAGTAGCATTAATAATATTTAGTTATTTATTTGTATTTATTTTTTGTTGACTGAGAAGCTTGTTACTGATGTGTAGACTCTGGTTTTGGTCAGCTGTGATCAACCGCTCCATTTGTGTGTGTGTGTGTTTGTGTTTGCAATTGAACTGTTATGAACTAATAATGTGGCAGATTTAACTAATCCTAATCCAACCAATAGTAAACACACAGCATGTGAACTCTGAGGATCATCTAGTCATGTAATATTTTCTTTTTAAGTTTTTTTTTAGTAGGTCAGAGTGAAAGTGAAATTACTAAATTGGGATATTAGATGTGCATGGTGGCCTCTGACCCAGTAGGTGGCAGCAATGCAGCTTAAGGATGCAATGAAGAAGAGAAAAATAGGACGAGCAAAAGGCAGGAGCAGCTCACAAAAAAATTTGAAGTTTTATATTTGGCATTAAAAATATATTTTTTGAAAAGTTATTGAAGGAACATATCAGGCGATAATAAAGCTGTCATGGTTTAATTCAAGTATTTTATTTTTCTACGCTATAGTTAAAGTCAAGTTTTAAATGTTGGAGGTGTACTGCTGTGTGGACAGTACGTATAGAGTGGGGCTCTGTGCTAAAGCAACATCAAGTTGGCCTATCCTGAAGTGATTCATTTTTGAACTTCAATGGTCACAGACAGTCGTCACCAAAGAACAATTAATTATTTTGTGAATTTTGTTTTGAAAATTCAGTTTGATTGATAGTACGTTTAGATTTAAACATATTTAAATTGAGCTCTGTGTTAACCAATGCTAACTAGAAATATTAGCCTACTGTATGTTAACATACTGTAATCTGATTCAAAATCTTTGACTAATGTAGCCTTAAACTTTAAGGCTACATTACAAATCAAATTTATTTTCATAAATATTAGGGGGAAAAAAATCATCCCATGTTTTCATTCCAAACCGTCCGACAGCAGTTTCACCCTTTATTTCACTGTAGTCCTGTGTGTGTGTGTGTGTGTGTGTGGAGTCGTCGACAGCCATTGAATTACGTGGCATTCTGCTTGTTTGTGGTCACCAAACACGGGGCACATTAAAATGCACTAAGTGCGATTGGATGGTCTCATAGTTGTTGACCCTGCCGCTGGGAGACTCCCTCCTACCTTATTTCCTCTCTCCTTTCCTTCATCCTCCCGGTGAATGGGTTGAGGCCAGACGTCGTCTATGTTTAGATTTTGTTCCACCCCTGAAGGAGCTGCATTAATTCAGAAAAGCTCCCCAAGTTTAATTATTCCTGAATGGTGTGTTGGTGGATACTGGCGTATAAATCAGTTAGGCCCACCCGCCTTTTTATTACCATCACTATTTATGGGGAATGTGTGGCAGCTGGAAGAGATGAGCCTGTAAAAAGCTAGAGGCTATTGCTGCGACTGTGTCAGACGGAGTCACAGCAATTGTGTTTTGAGCAGCATTAATTCACTGTTTGNNNTCAAGTTACACTTTTAAATAGATGATCACTCTGAATCAAGCACATTATACAGTCCAAGTATGAGGAAATATTTATATTTATGACGGAGATTAAATGATCTCTGGAACCCCATAAAAGTGTTGTTTTTATCTTCTAATTATAGTCGCTCATGGTTTGTGAATAAACACTAATGTATATGTGTGTCTGTGACTGTATATGTGGTCGGCTTTCTTTTTGTTTTTGTGTTTTGTTTTGTTTTTTATGATGAGGATAATTAATGGTGGCAGGGTGAGATCTCTGTTTAGTGCAGGTAGAGTTCTCCCCCTAAACAACAGCAGCCTATCAGAAGGAGATTAATGAAGTAATTTCATGCATGGCTCTGTGTCTCTGTCCCCCTCCACGCACTGCACACTGTGTCGAAACCTGTGATTTAAACTGGACTGGAGATAAATAGCCTCAACCTTGTACCATAACATCCACGTGCCATTGTGATGCAAAAAAAAAACACAAAAACATCTAGAAAATACTCAGTAATTTAAGTATCCAACATTGTCCAAACTTTTTCAGTGCAGTAAATTATGACAACTTTTCATAAAACATTTCAGTGAACTTTTTATTTTTTTGACAACAATCATTTGTGTAAGAAAAAAAATGCGTTCATCCTGGATGGCTCCATTTGAGAAAAAAAATGCGTTCATCCTGGATGGACTTAAATGTTTTTTTCTATCCGTTTACCAGTGGTCATCAACTGTCGGCTCAGGGGCCAAATCTGGCCCACTGAGCCTTCCAATTTGGCCCTTGATTTTTAATATGCAGATTTTCTTTTTTTCTCATATTTCATTTGATTTGTGTGTCCGGCCTCCAAAGTGTCCAAATTCTCTCCCTCAAAAAAAAAAGATAAACAGAAGCATAAAATAAGTCACAATGACTTTATTTTATCATTTTATTGTTTTTATTTTTAAAATATTTTGAAGACATTTTAGTTTCGATTAGTACTTATGTGAACCCAAAACAATTTAAATGAGAAAATCTATGGGAACTCCAATTTATGTCCAATCTAGGGACATATTAGTGGGTTTTGACCATTAATGTTTTAGAAAATGTGCGTAGAAAGATAAGCACCGTCAAAATGTTGTCACGTCCTAACAGTAACAGCACAGACGGCTAGAAGAGTCATCGTGTGAACATTTAGAATTTTCTTCTCCTATCTCTGTTGAGTTGGTGACAAAGAGCAAGTGTCCATGGCTAAGGATGAAAAATAAGTCATGGAATCAGGCCCAGGACTCACTAAACACACCTGCCCTGTTCCTGCAGAGATTGTATTGCGATATTGGCTCCAGTGCTTCAGTGATGTATCGCGTTTCACCAGGTTGTGTTTGATATCACTGCTCAGGCCTCTGGAGGAGAAGTTCAAGACGGAAAGTGTGGACATTTCCACCACCGTGTAAATTATAATTTTCTAGATATCTTAAGCTCTTGTACGTTTAAGTTGTCGAATTAAACCACGGCGCTGCTGCATTATGGATGTACAGGAAGCTAATCTTTTTCTAATGAAATGGCAGAATTAGAAATTTGATCCCAAACGTACCGCCTGCTGGACCAGACTTATCACTTTTTTTTTCTTTTTTTTTTTTGGTCCAACAGCGTGATGAGCTGTCCAACTGTTCCCACTGCGTCTCAGTGGAAAATTATTAACTCTTTGAACTCTGCAGTGGGACGTTTAGACAAGTGACACCTCCCTCACTTCCCCCACTGACAGCATCTCTATCATTAGCCATTTGTCTCGCTCAACATCCTGAACTCAGCCCCTTGTAAGAACTGGATCTGCCCAGTGCGGCCCAGACAGTTTACGTCAGACAAACAGCAGCAGAGCCCGTATCACCAGAGGCCCTTCTCTTTCCTGCCAGCAGCATCTCTAGAACAGG